TGATTTCTCTTTACTGTTAACCATTTATGTCTTGTGTATAAGATTCTCGATTCCACTAGACTCATCTTTGGTAACTTCGCATTTCCTTCTAAGTCTCTGATAGCGTAGTGTTAAACCTTCATTTTGGCTCTTATGATATTTAGAAATTTCACTTGTTGATGTTAAGGATAATGACGGCGTTTTACGCTTGCACAGTTTCAAACCCAATCCCCCTAACAGCTAGTACTTGTCTTCCTGCATCTTTGCTGTCGTTGCAGCTCCTATAGTTCATAATCCGCAGCTCTCGTCAAAAACGATGGATAAAATTTAATGACCAAAAATAAACTTAAAGTTCTCTTGGCCATATTTATGTGGTATTTTAGAAGGTTCCTTCCCAGCAACGTCTTCGGAAACCTCATTAATCAGCTTACGTAATAACAGCTAAAACGTCGTAATTAAGCACTATTCTTAAATACACCACAACGTGGCCGTAAAACGTAAAAAATGTAAATGAAGAGTTCGTGGAAAGAATGAATTTAAACCTCCCAGACTTCAAGAATGCCGACTACAAAGTGTAGTACTTACCCGTAACACTACACGTCCATCGACTGACACAAAGAGACGTCAAAAGAGTTGAAACAACAATTTAACCGTAAATAGTTGGGTATTGAGCCGCGCAGACAAGTCTGGAACTATCAAAATGAATTAAAAGGTTCGAGAATTTACACAGAAAAGACCAAAGTAGATTTACAAAAAAAGCATGTTAGGCAGCCGATGCGCTTAAATGCGATAATGCCGCTCTCTAAATGCATTGGCAAAAACCCGTAAGAGAACTAGTAGTCGGCAGAATGCAACAGTCGACTAGTAGTACCAGTAGCTACAGGCTCCTCAACGAAATAGTAGTAAGAAGTCTACCAATTTCCCTAGGTGCGCAAAAGTGAAGTGTTTAAAGCTGACGGGTTGGGACTACGCCAAAAGTAACCCAATGCGACCTCGCTCAGTGACTATTGCTGTTTTGAGACACTGTGTAAAATCAGGGTAGTTCATCTGACAGCGATATGCACCCGCTAAACCATTCTCAACACAAAAGATCACTGTTAAAATTAAAACCAGCATCCATTTGATTCAGATGTTTACTGTGGAACAGCGGACGTACGCGTCAACTCATCTACACTCGTACTGCACTTCTTGAGTTGAGGTTGACCTCGTCCATCAGCCTTTGCACTTTCTTCTGAAGAAATTCATATCTTGGGCACCAGGGGGCTATACAAAAATGGAGAAAATCTACGAGACTTCTGAAGTAAACAATCATACCACTTTGTCTGTCACTGCGTTCATATCTTAAACGACACCAGTCCAAAAGCTCCGACAATTAACGTAATTTTTAACCTTGTTGGCAGCGAAAAAACACGAAGAATTTTTGGAAGACCATACGCATGAGGACTCTGCGCACCGAACAACGCTCGATCGACTTTCACAACTGGATCCGCCCGCAACAAAAACCGCCCAAAACTTCAGAAAAAGAAACAATTTCATTCATTTACGTGAAAACTGACAACAAAAACAATCTATGAAATTACAATGAGAAACAGCACAAACGCAAAGAAAAGACATAAAAATAATGAAAAAAATGACAAATAAAAAGCACACTATGCTTACAGTCCACTGTCGACAATGTGAGAACGATTCCTTAGAACTTTACAAATGCATTGCAACTTCAAAAACAGTACTTTTATATACGGACAGAGGACTAACTTTTGAATCCTTCAAGACTCAATCAACAAATAATGATCACAGACCACATCGAAAACCTTATTAAGTACCATGAATAAAATGCAATACAATGATATGATTTCTAACAAATTACCATAACAAACACGATCCCAGAATTCAATGAGTAATAAATAAGAAAAACATATTCGTATGGTTATTAAAACAAGAGCTAAGCTCCACTTTGGTTCAAGATACGGATTAAACACATCTTTACAATACGTAAAGCAAGGTACAGCTCACAAACAGCCACAACCATCCTTCAATACCAACAATCTCAAATTTGTTAACAAACCTGCAAACAATTTTTAATGACTACACAGCTACGAGGTAGCCCAGCCTGAGACACTTTTCAAAACAGAATTCGGAAGGTTACACATCCCCAATGCAATAACTATCAAGAAATGACAAGAACGTATAAAGTCGGGAACTATAAATATGAAAACACAGATTTCATTCGAATGACAAAAGTTTACCCATAAAACGCAAATCAATTGCATAAAAACTATAAACAGCTCCTAAGTGCATTCTTTGAAGGGAATATTATGAGCCTAAAAATAATAGCTTAACAGTATACACCATAACTTATGATAAAGATCATTAATCTCTCTCGCCTGCTAAAAGCTTACACAAATACAAGCCAAGAAGAGTACAAATGACTACTATAAGTCACTGAACACCCACAGAAAAACTCCTCGTATATTCACAAAATGATTTCATGAAAAGAACTGATTGCTCACATATTTTTACAGCACACCTCAATGACGAAACCACAGATAACTTAACACATATTGAAAAAATAATTTCAACTAAAATATATATTCCTCATCAGCCATATCAATCGCCCAGCGAAACTTCTCCCTCTGCGTTTTGTTAAATATTTTTTCAATAGGAACGTTAAACTTCTTGCACCAAGCGACTGAGATACGTGGGTCTAGATAATTTAATTTGGAGGTATTCAGCGCAATTTGCTTGTTCTCATCCTAAAAAAAAACAACAAATAGAAGTATAACATTCGTTGAAGGATCATGAGCCTCTCCAGTTCCCAACATCACCAGACATTCAAATTAAACCGCATCAACGAATAAAGTGACGGCAACTCATAAATTACACGCAAAAAATTTTTATCGCATTTTACATCAATTGAACATCCTATACACAAAATTGAGAAACTCGTGGGTCTCACTCACCTTTGGAAAAGTTACTCCTCAACGAGAACAAGCAAGGATAAATTTCCACAAAAACAATTAAAAAAAAAAGAAAAATCGATTTATGTTACTCAAAAGTTAATCAAAAGGTCACTAATAAACAAAAAACAACAGCTATCATTTCAGTTAACTAAAACAATAAAAAAGAAAGTTATAGGGAGTAAAACCTTATCAGTCCTCTGAATTTTCAACCTTCTCAACTGCTCCTTTATCCTTTCAACTTTCTTTTTAGCTTTCTCTATAGCACTATCGCTGCTTGCCTCCTCGACCAACCGCTGAAAATAATTCTTCAAACGATGCAACTGTAGAACTTGACCATAAAAAACATCACTAAAAATCTATACTTTTCAAGGGCTCATAAACAAGAAACTAAAATGATACTGAATGCACAGTTACATTTGCTTCAGTTAACTCCTTTTTCTTCGCTTTGATTTTTTCCTTCAAATTTTCCATACTCTTTTCGTGACTCTTGGGTATGGACCTTTGATGATTACAAAGGATGGCAACTTGGCGATTTGCACGATTATATGACAGCAAATGCTCGTGTACAGTTGCATCGTCTAAAAATATTGAAATACACATATGATACCACTTATTAGTAAAAATTTCCTAGAAACCACAAAGAAAAATGTACCTTTAGTCAACTTTTCCAACTGGTCTTGAAGGGTAATTGAAGCGTTGTAAGTACGAAAAACCTTCACTGTAAGCCCTGGCATAAGGCTTTGAAGATGCTGATTCAAGGTACTTGTCTTAAAAAATAACTTACTGAGTATGCTGCATAAAGTTATCAAACATTATGACCTCATAAAAAGTAGTGATTTCGACGGTGGAAATAGATGGCCAAAGTAAATCTGTTTTAAGGAACTAACAGATCGTGTCTCATAAAAAGCAAATAGTGAACAGCATGATCAATAATGCCCTACATCAAGCCGGTCGAAAAGGTCGTCGCCTGGTTCCTTATTTTCCATAAATAAAACCAAATTCTTAAAAACTCTCTTTTCTACTGGAACACGATTATAATATCGTATGCTGTCCTTACCCAGAAAGTCGAATTCGACCACATACCTTAAAGTAACCAGATCTTGATAAAAGCTGATAAACGACTCAATAGGAAACCGCCAGAAAAGCAAAACTGCGATAATCTACTAGAAGAGGTCACTTTATTAAGATTTCAAACATCGAGACAGATCAAGTTAACTCAAAATTTTATCACTTCATCTCCTCCCCTCAACGTCAAAATACATGACCATACCACTTTCACTTTAACCCCCCGCCCCCCTAGTCTGTTTTGACGTATATGTTACTAAGCTTTTTCCCAGCTTCTTCCAAAAGTCAGTATAACCCCGCAATCAAAACAACGAATTTCAACATAAAGAATAACCGTTTACAACACTTTGTTCACAGACCCTTTCAGGAGCTCCAATAAACTACTTTTCAAACGCTCGCACAAATCTCGGATGTACTTTCAATATATTTTAACCCCCTTGGACTGCAGAACATCCCATCTCCATCCAACAACGACATTCCAGGAGCATTAGCCATAAGTTTCTAAAGCTCTGCCCAACGCTCCCAACATCTTCATAAGAGCAACAGCTTTACGTTAAAGGTGCAGCAAGACTCCAATATCAAAGTTGAAATTTAGACAAGAATTTATGGTAGGAAATAAAAAAACAAGGGCTCTTAAAAAAATCACTTAAAACCACCCTAAACTGTCGCAGCGTTTAAAACGAAATAAAAGAGTCATATACTAACTGTTGGCCATCCAAATTCTCATGCAATTTAATGTGCTCACAACGCAAAGAGCAACAACCCACTGTATCGGCCACTTCATCAACATCCTTTTCGTTACCAGCACGAAGGGCCAACTAAATAAAACCGAGCTTAAAAACTAAATTATCGTTCAAATAAGAAAAATGCTATCGTAACTAACACCTGATTAGACATTTGACCCTAAAATAACTTACTTTGTCAATAAAATATAATGCTACGGCTCGCTGTCGTATACGCATTTCACGACTTTTGAAGTCAGCTGTATAAACAGCCCGTATATCGTCAATTCTTGATTTGAGACGCCGAGCAGTTTCAAATTTTTCATAATCTTTCTCACCCTATAAAATGTTGGTCAAAATAAGATGCAAAAAAATCTCTTCCTCTCTCTC